ATTTGCTGGACGAAAAGGGGTTAATATCTAGTGGGGGGATCTTTATCTGCCTGGGCATTTCACCGGCTTTTGTGGGTGCTATTTGAAGTGACTTCCCCATAGAGTTGGATGATATACGACTCTATGGACACTCATGCACGCCCACCTAGTCAAAAGAAGTTTAATTTCCGTCTAAAATAGCCAGAAAAAATGTTTTCGTGATATGTGCAAGGGCAGATCAAGACCAAAATTATCCAGTGATTAAAATTGTATTTTGAAGGGGGGCTAAAGAATTTCACAATTATTTTATATAATCATTCATGACATTTTTGGGGGTGAAATAAAGTGGGGATTTTTATACACACGCTTTTGGAAGGAGGGGAAGCGAAATAGTGCCCCAAATCGCCCTCTCTACATTTTGTCAAAAGAACTCGTCATTTATTTGGCCCCCGATATCCCCCCACACACACACACACACGAAATCCGCGAGTGCATTTGTGTCAAGGAAACTCTAGGCCTCCGAATGCCGGCCTCCTTTCTCCGAGATTCTCGGTACCCCTGTGGCCGCTCCTCTTAGATAATAACTTGTAATTGTCTGTCGATTGACAATGAAATGAAATAGATGATGATCGCTTGTCACTCAGAAGCTAGCGTCAAAGCAAACCACGCTTTAAGCGTGGCATCTTCACCCTTGAGGAACCCCAAATCGACAGGTTCTCATCAGCGCCTTCAGCGCTACACGATCTTTGGTTCTCATCGTCAGTACTGCAGGAGCAAACAGACCCCTACCAAAGGTTTAAAACTGGTAATTTGGATAGCTTGAAAGTTCTCATCGTAAACTTTCAAAGCTTGTGGGGTAAGAAAGATGTTGTCGCGGAGAAAATTCTTGGTGAGAACCCTTACATAGTACTTGGAACCGAAACATGGCTCAACTGAGAAATTAGCAGTTCTGAATGCTTCCCTTCAAACTACACCGTTTATAGGAAAGACCATGGAAAGACAGACCTGGGCAGAGCTCCAAGGCCGTTTTCCAATATTCAACTTCGTCTCCGTCTCAGGCGTCGTGTAGGAAGCGAATCCTCGATTGTGGGCCTGAACTTCGTGAATCATTGGGTAAAATTGATCAGTCTAAGAGTCTACTGTGGACAGGAGGGGGTTTAATGTTCCAGATAATGAGTGGTCCATCCCATGCAGAAAGCCTGCTTCAGACTGTATCTAAACTGAAAGGGTTTCAACTGTGCTCTCGGATATTGTAAACGACTTCTCCTTAAAACAAAGAGTTACTAAAGTCTTGAATATTTTAAACCTCTGCTTGTTACCAACCCCGATTCATTTTCATCAGTCAACACTATAGGCCCTACCAGGAATTTTAGACCAGTGGAACCGTTGATAAAGCAAGTCATTCGGAAGGGTAGGCGTCGAAGGGTGTATCTCCTCCATAACGCTGATGTGAAAGGCTTACGGGAGGACCTTCAGCCTTTCCAGTATTCCTTCTTTGAGGATCCAGAATCTAGATCACTGGATAAAAAATAGGAGTTATTTAAAAATGCAGTTCATTCATTAATGGAGAAGCATAATTTCTCGTTACAACTTGCCATGAACGAACCAACAACCCCTTAGACGGCTGATTAGACAGAAGAACAGGTCCTTTGTCAAGGCAAAGAAGTGAATGACATTAACTTACACTGGCAACAGTATATAGATCCCTTCGGCGTAATGTACAAAAGAACTGAGGAAGGTAAAAAGGAATTATATTTCCACCAAAGTATTTGATTCCTTGAGTATCAACTATCAACCCTAAGAGGTTTTGGGCGTTCATGAAGAGCAGGAGGAAGGGACCAGGAGGAATTGCAACTTTTCTTTCAAATAATAGGCTTGTGAATACTCCAAAGGAAATGGATGAAGCTCCAAGGCCACTGCATAAATGCGTGAAACTGTTGAGTTTACCTGAACTTTTCTTTTCATAGTTCATCTTCAACAATTACTCTATAATTGCTTAGAGCTACAATTATTTGTTGTTTCTTATATTAATATGTATGCATGTTTTGTTTAAGGGCATGCCTAACACAAGCTTTGCTTTTAAGGTGTTGCCACCCCCCCTGGCATATATATGTCTTTTATACTTGTCTTATTATTATTATTTCTGCCATGGGAGGAAATAAATGTGTGTGAGAGTGAACTTAGTTCGACCACATTTGGAGTATTGCAGCGCTGTGTTTGGGACCCTACATTGCCAACAATAGACACAAGATCGAGATGGTTCAACGCAGAGCAGTCCGGTTCATCATTACTAATTACAACTGGAATAAAACAACATCACTCACGACTCTTCACAAATTTCAACTCCCCACCGTAAGAAGACCGCAAATACATCCAGAGGCTCGTCAACATACACAAGACTATTTATAATCAAATCGATGTCACCTTACCCTCTGAAGTTTCATTTAAACAACCAGTCATCTATACAAGAAATTCTTGGCCTAAATGTCTCCAAATGCTGTTCACTAGCACCCAAACCTACAAAGATTCTCTTTTTTATCCAAACTACACGGGATTGAAATCATTTTCCCCAGCACATCAGAATAGGCCTATCCAGTGACACTAAAAAGTTTGCCGAAGCCTTGAGGACGCTCAAACGTAATGCTCCTAAATAGCTGTCCACCTCTCCTTGGCCGATTGTTGCTTCAAAAGGAGCTCATTATCGACTTTTTAATAATTTCAAGATCAAATCACGTTCTGATAATCAGATAACAAAACCACGGAGGTAATGCCAAAATGGGTAAATCTGTCACGCCACGCCACGTATGATCGTACAAAGTTGATGACGTCATTGGAAACCTCCTTTTAGTGTATGGTTTCTACCACTCATCGGCTCACCGTTTCAGTTACTCTCGAATGGCTGATGATACAGAACAGACGATGCGGCGTTTGGAAATGAATGGTAAGACTTACAACTCACAAGACATTGTCTCTTTGACTACTCTCAACATTGGAGTCATGGTTGATCATTTGATGTTTGAATAATCTGCTGAGTGCTTACGAGGCAGCCACCGAGCTTTCATCAGCTTTAGCATGTTTAGATGAGCGCCTGCTGGATAAACTTGTGCATGTGCAACAAATCAGCAGTCCAGGAAATTTCCTCAGGGCCTTGGGCATAGGGTGCACTGTCCCAATTCCAGGAAAATTCTCTGCCAGACCGACGCGCTTCTGAGTTCCCCTGCAGATTCTTTCGAAAAGAGGGGTCGGTATGGGCAAAGCAATTGTGGGATTGTGTGAGTATGGCCAAGCATCACCTCTATAGATTCCGGGGCTCCCATCTGAGGTCAAGGCAGACAAAAATGTCACTGAAAAGTTGTCAGAAGAGCCTGAGCATGGTTAGGGATGTCATTTGAAAAATGGCTGCTGAGAAGACTTGAGAATGTTCACTTTTTGGGAGGTGAATTTGTTTTGGGCGGATAATTAAAAAATTCATCAGTTAACCTACTAAAATTTGAAGATCAAATGAAATCTGAAGGGCCAAACAACGCATTGTTTTTTGTTTGAGAGGCCTCAGGGACTTCAGTCGCCTGCCATGGCCCATGGGGCTCCAAACTTTGTTGATTTTACACTGTTTTCGATGGAGCTTGAATTGGTTCAGTGCACCCTCTAACGTTACTCACTGTTCAGGGCGACCATCGTGACCATGGCAACTGTGTGGTCTGTGGTGTTCGTGGAAACATTGGTATTCCACTGATAGAGCAAGATTAAATACAACGCTGTTGTGAGCCAGTATTCTTGACACATCATGCATGTACTCAGTGGATTAAAAGAGGACAGTAAATTCTTGTGAAGAAGTAAAGGCTTGGTCAGTTGGTTTTTAGGTTTAGTTTGGCATAGCAATCTAAAATTTTTCAACAAAGTTAGTAGGAGCAGGGTTTCAGTTTTGTAACAGATTACAGGCTTAATAATTAAGTTCATACTTGAGATTGCATACTGAACATTAAAACCTCAAGTTTGCTTTTGGCTTGAAGACAAGTGTACCCTTTTAAATTTGACACCTTAGAAAATGATGACAGTGGTTCACGTAGACAACATGGTTACATGTGCATTGTGCTACTCTAGAAATAAGACCTCTCAATTTCTTTTTCTCCTTTTATCAATTGCAGATTTGATGCTGCACAATGTCGTTGTAAAAAGGAGAGAGCTTCGTCACGCTCACTGAAGATTTTAAGCTCCAGAGTCCACAGCCATGCCCAAAGCGGAACAGGTCAACTTGCAACGCACCTTGGCGTTGGTCAGTTTCTTCTACTTCACTTACTCTGCTGGCAGTGCATGCCTCTTCCCATTCTTGACCCTGTACCTCCGGCAGCTGGGGCTGAGCGCCACTCAGGCTGGTGTCGTCATGGGCCTGAAGGTCTTTGTGGCTCTGTGGGCAGCGCCGCTCTGGAGCAGTTGTGCTGTGCAGCATGGCAGACGACGCGTTATCTTGATGATTGCCATTTTCATGACGATTGCTGCCAACCTCAGCCTGACACTCTTGCCGCCAGCCGACCACAACCTGTATTTTGCCTTTTGTGACCAGGCAAATAAGTCCATCGTAGGTAACCAAGAACTGTCAAACAAGTCTGCCGTTGACAACGGTGGTAATTATGAAAGTGCAACGACCTTTCTGCAGACTTCCCAGACTCAGAGTAGTGCACTGGTCCAGACCACACCCTCGAGAATCCACCCACATCTCACATCAGCACCAGTCAACTCCATCCATGCCCCATTCATGCATCTTCCAGTAACTGAAGTATACCAAAGCGTGATCACTAAGACAACAAGACACCAATCTCCTGTGCTGGACAAACAACCTGTGAATTTCCAACCTACAAAAGGACAACCAAACTCCATCCACTCACTGCACACTGCCCCGTCTCCCAACTTGGATGCACAGTCTCCAAGACCAGGTGTGCATAAACAACACACAACTCCCCGGCCCGGCCACCTTTTGCCAATCTCAAACTCCCAAGATGATGAAGCACCCACAAAGGTATATTGGTCTGGTGATTTGGAAGAAAACAAACAGGACTTCCCCAAAGATCCGTACCATGACTATGATTCCTTGTCAAAATCTGAGTGGATTGACAGTACACATTTTTCATATATTTGGAAACCACAAGAAAAAAACATCAACAAACCAAACCAAGTAACCAAAACACCGGATCAGAGACCGACAACAACTAATAATATGAGAAAGATAGGTGGCCTGAAATGGAGTTACGTCCAAGAAAAGAGACTTCCAAATAAGGGGAGCAGTTATAGTTCCAATACGCGACAAAGGACTTCCACATCAACATCCAACTTTGAAAACCAGAGGGATCACTATGCAAACTTTGTTAAACGTTCCTTGTCAGATGATCAGCATCAAATCTCTGACAACGATCAGTTACCAAGATCCTTGGGGTCAGCACAAAAGACCCTCATTAAAACCGTTGGTCACTTCTTGGAGTATGAGAATATCATTTTCATCATCACTCTTCTTATCATGGTCATCGGGGAGAGTCTGGCCTGCCCTGTAGACAAAATCTGTGACAGCTCTTTGCACGAGACTCTGGATTCGGTTGATGAACTCGACAAGTACAGAAGGCATCATGTGCCCAGCATCATTAGCTATGGCCTATTTGCTCTCATCATCACAGTTATCGTCGACAGCATGGACTGTCAACTTTTCTTGCAGACAAGCAACTTTGTGATCCACTTCTACCTGTTTGCTGGTCTTCTCAGCGTCACCTTCCTGCTAGCCTTCTTTTATCCCATCCCCGCCCCTCAGAAGGCAACCCGCAAGCCCCGATTCTGTAAGGGGCTCAAGCTGCTTGTGAGCGATCCCCACAATGTCGTGGTCACCCTGACGATGATCGTCACTGGAGCGCTGGTATCCAACATCCACAACTTCCTCTTCTGGCGCATCCAAGACCTGGGTGGGTCTGAAGTGGTCATGGGGGTTTCAGTGCTCGTTGCAGTTGGCTCGCACATTCCAGCACTGTTCCTGACTGGCTGGCTGAACAGGAAGATCAGTCAACTTGGCACCATAGTACTAGCTGTGCTGTCCCTGGCTGTTCGCCTTCTCTACTTTACGTTCCTGTGGACGCCCTGGGCAGTTGTCCCCATCGAGGTCCTGTGCGCATTCAGCCAGCAGGCACTGTGGGAGACGGTGACTTCCTATGGGGAGCAGATATCCCCCCCAGCCATGGACAGGTCCGTCAAGTCCATACTGAACTCCCTGTACCATGGACTTGGGTTCGCAGTCGGCAGCATCTTGGGTGGAATCATCTTCGACCAGGCTGGTCTGCAAGTGCTGTACGGTGTGTCGGCCGGCGTGGCCTTGGTGTGGGGTATCGTGGTTGCCTTGGTGGGGCGGTTTGTCCCTAAGAAGAGGAGATTGCACTATTCATCACTGTTGCATCGCGAGGAAGATGACGGCGAGGAGGGATACCTGAGTGATGACGATTCTGATGAAGTGTATGGTAATGATTGGCTTGTAAAAGCTTTGAAGGATGATTTTTAGTCTACATGTAATTCAGGGAGCACCACAGTACTAAATTTTCTAAAAGAGATTTTGCCGTGAACCTTTGTGGTGACAAAGTTGCTTCAATTTTCATGCATTCCTTGGTAAACAATGACAAAAAATTTCCAGTGCATATATTGGTGGTTGTAAAGTCCACACAATGCAACATGTCACTTTCGCGACGTGTTGGGTAAAGTTTTGTAAAATCAGCTGCTGACATGCCAAATTTTGAAACTTGCAGTTGAATCCTTTGGTAATGTTGCCATTTTTACTCTGAAATTCATGTACATGCATATGTGCAAAGAAGAGTCGTTAATTTCTCCAATAAGCCTTTTGCGAGTTAACTCTGACCCAAATCCGGCACACTGAGTTCTTTAAATTCCCGTGAACATAACAACTTGAATTCTCCTTACTAAAACCACTGTTGCTATACCTCGTGATTCGGGGCAAGCTTTTGCTTAGTTACATAAGAGACGCCTTGAAACAATACACTGTCCTCAATGGATAAGGAGGGCATAAAGGAACCAGTCCATTCCAGAGATGGTGGTCGCTATGTGAAAGCTTGCCCCAAATCACTAGGTATAGCAACAGTGTCTTTAGTCTGGGGAATTCGAATTATGTTTATGTGCAGTCAGATAACTTAGTGCACCAGATTTTATTCAATTTAACTCGCAAATGGCTTATTACCCATTGCTGGCCATGTTCACAATGATGCTTTGTATATTTCAGAATCAAATCAAGGTGCACAATGTGACTGGTGACATCATTGATGTCAGAAGACAGGACAATGAAACATTACAATTTTCATTATCTTTTCTACAGATCAGACTGTTATGGATGTTTTTCATGTACTTTGCTTTATAGGAAAAACAGACCAAACAAACTAAAGAATTTTTTGTTCCCAACTAGCTAGATAAAAAGGCAGACTAGTTTGGTTAATATTTAGTCATTTCACTTTTTTGTTTGAGTATTTTGCTTTTATCTCAAAATGTTTTGAATGCTGTTTAAATTTACAACATTTAATTGTACTAAGTGGTGCCAGCTACTGTTTTTTGTTTTTTTTCTTGGATATTGCTGTAGCACTATGCATTTGAACTGTTTGGATTGATACATGTACATAACAATACAATGTAATGGTGATTCAGCGAATGACATACACTTTGACAGTGTTCATATGTACACATGTAGGCAACAAGGTGTCAATTATGTTTACTTGTAAGCCTACTTGCACAAGCCACAAATTATACCTTGTAATGCCTTGTATCGATCTGCAGTTTCGGTTCACATTCCCACTTAAAGAAATTTCAAGGAAAAAAACATTCTTAAGCATAACCAAGATACAAGTCTTTATACATGTACCCTACAGTTGAATCCGTTGTACATGTATATGCGTGTGTACGTATAAGACAAATATAATACTCTTCCTATTAGCAGGATTTGAAAATAGAGGTGATATTTTTAATTTTGTCAGTTTGTTTACAATTTTACCCAGAGTTGAGAATGCTGCATACATGTATATAGTTACACTGTACCAACCACAGACCTGCCCCTGTGCAAATATGTGGGGATACTGTGTCCGGTTTGTGCATGCAACAGGTGTGGCAAATGCACAAGAGGTTATGGTGAATGACACTTGTACGCATGTACGTGTACTTTTTTTGCAAATGCCATCCATTGATTACTTGAAATGGATTGAAGTGCACATTGTTTTACATGTAGCATGCCACGTTTTCAACTGATTTGGGGTTTTTCCTGGCTTTTCAGACCTCTCAGGTGCAGGTCAACCTGCCCATTCTGTGCATATTTACAACTCGCCAAAGTGCATGCGCAATTTAAATCTAAGAACTTTGTGACGTGCATGCAAGTGGGATACCACATCAACTGGTCATGTCTGATAAATGTAAAATTTAATCACATGATCAGTCTTTGTCCAGTCTAAATACCGTAGGAATGCACAAGAATTCTTGAAATGTTTGAGTGTCTTGATTTTTCCACATACAAAAGTATATGTTTAGTACTGAATTTGAAAACGAGGTTACAAGTTTTCCATGTTTATAAAGCAGTTTAACTGCCAAATTCTATGAAATGATTTGTGCTGATCCCATTAAATGGACTTTATTGCTGTATGGTGTAATTTGCCTAAATTGTTCCAATTTAAAAACGTGATGGTTTTCTTGTGTATCATTTGGTTTAATGTGATTTTACTTCAAAAGACTTAATTTATTGATTTGCTCCCTGCAATTATGCAGCTGTTCTGAATAAAGCGAATGGTTCCCTTTTGTATTCAATATACAGCAGTGTCTTTGGACAGTAGAGAGGATTTGCATGGCTGCCATATTGCAGGCCAGTACACTTGTTCCCAGAGTATGCAAAAAGGAAGCTTCCCTGTGGAACAAAAGAACAACCCTACAAGATGGCTACCGCACAAAGCCTTTATTATATAAGTAACTGCAACTCTGGTACTTAAGTAAATACCTCAACACCTGTTACTGCACGGTATCAATAGAAGACATCTGTTATTGTAGAATTCCATTTAGGCATGCTAGTTTCTTTATTCAAAATACATATTCATTACTCAGATTATACACATTGAAGAACATGTTTTGTTTAAAATGGTCTTGATAGTTACATTTATTATAAAGTGGAAAATATTTCTCCGAGGCACTTTCAGTTACAGGAAACAAAGAGTGTAAGGACATATTTTCTTATTAATTATTTATCAATACTTATTAATTATCAATATTTATTGATGCCAGTAAAATGGGGGCACAAATTTACATGTATGTGCTTCTGCCAGCCATTACACAGATTCAGGCTTTGTGATTTAATCTGGGAAAAAACAGGCTGGTGTGAGTGTACAAAGTATGATCTATTGTAAAATAATTTTGCAGAGTCTGTACTTCCAAATAATTTTACCGAATTTGTCTTTGTGAATTTCCATTCAGGATTCTGGATTTTTTTACAAATTTATATTTATAGGAGTACATTTCAGTTGAAGGGAATGAATAAAAAGTTTCTTCAAAATTTGTCTAAAAATGTTTCATTCATTCCAAACACTGTATACATGTAAATAGAATAAAGATTACATATTTTGAAAAATGTAATTCAGTTATATTCCAGAAGCAAAACACATCAATTTAATTTTAAAAAGCTTGATATAAAAAATATATTATACTCAACATTCTACCCAATCTACATAGTTTACTTAAATTAATACTCCAGAGCAAATGGCAGCCTCCTTGTTAAACAGTACTTGTGTATGCAGTTGATTCTTGATATATCGGTACAGCACTCCCACAAAATACTATCGTAAAGAGGAAACAGGGAAGTCTGAGGTCTCTCCTTTTCTTTGTTTTCGTTTTTCCAGTCCTTATATAAAGTACTTTGGCAACCTTGTGACAAGAGTTGGCCTATTTGTCCGCAATAATTTATAACTGAACACCTCTCTGAAAGAACATAAAAAAGCAACCAACACCTTTTGGAGTCATTTTGAAGTTCATCGTTACCTTCAATTTTCCTCACTTTTGAATCCAATTTCAGCAAAGTGACGTATCATATTTGTTCAACTCACTTTAAGTACACTGGGGAGCATTATAAAGGATGCTGTTTACAAACACATCTCTATCAATTTGACAGAAATCTCAGAAAGTGGCAATTCTCCACCACAAAAAAGACTGGCATGGACTTCGAGATGACTGGGAAAAACACGATCACCACTGAAAAGAGCATTTGTTTTTCAAGAGGTAGGATCCAGTAGGCATCTCAACTCCAATACATGCATCAAGTATTTCCACCAGGACTGTGAAAATATACATGTTAAATATACACACTAAAATAAAATTCTACTTAATTTGCTTTCAGAACATTTTGAAAATGAGAAGCACAGACATTTCCCAGAGAGATTTTTTTTCAAGAATTTTTACATTAATTTTAAAAATGTGACACATTAGACACGCATTAAACTTAATCGCACGAAATATTAAAGGCCAAATGCTACAAGAACAGATCACTGATTGGACCAATTATACTGACCACTTAGCTGACTATAGAAGGACCGCAAACTCGGGCAGTGCTTTGCTTTTTCACAAGGCAGCGTCGTAAGACATGGGTTGGATGTTAATGGCCTTTCAGTACTGACTAGGAGACAGACATCATCCCTGAGCAGCAGCTTCAACTGACTGAGGTTCCTCCTCCTTGTGCACGCTCTACAGGCAAATATGGAATGAAAAAGGGCATGACCATCTCCGTAACGGCCAGTGTCACTCAAAGGAGGAGAAAGACATGCTCAGTGACTGATGAGACTAGCACTGTGATTTTTGCCATTAAATTCCTATCAATGGGACACTGCTCCTTTGTGCAAAAGAACACACCCTCTTGTTCCTGCACAGGGCGGGTACTTACGATTCTCTTCATGAAGCAAAGGAAGTTGGACCAGACGAGGCTCGCTGAGGCCACGTACACAACCCGCATGTGACTCGGTAAGAAGAAGAAGTTGAACGTCTGTTGGAATGGCATTAGAAGTTGAATGAAGTTTCCAAGGCATGAATTGTGCACGAGGCTTACTCCAAAAGAGCTCTCCCACATTGCCTGTTATTCATATGGACGGCTTCAGTTGGCAGAAATATGGCCCTTGGCTGGTGTGACGTTCAGCCTCAAAATAAATATCTGCCTCAGTACTTTTAAAGATGCCATAATTTCACGAGGTATACATGTATAGTGGTAGGCTTTATTATGTGGTGTTTTGGTAGCTATGTAAGAGTTTTTAACAATTGGCGGATTGTTGTTTTATTTTTTAACTTACGGCCAGCCATCACTTACTGGTTACCAGAACACAATTATGACGGTGACACAGAAAGAGAGAGGTTGGTAAGAGTTCCATATACAGACATCACTCGTTTTTTCCCTTGCGGTGGTTTATTAGCCACCAGAAAGTGATAAAGTGTCCTGAAAAGTCAAATTTAGGAGGCAAAAGCACTTACTTAGAAAACTCTTAAAATTTCTCAGACCAGTCTCATAGTGTTTGCGCACAGGGTGTCGAGCTTCCTGGCTTATGAAACTGGACTATCAATGTACACGTATGTACACCACCCTCAGAGGGGAATCTCTGACTGCATTGTATGATACAGTGGCTAAAGTTTCAATAAAACATGGAACGTTAAATTCAATATTGTCAACTCTGCAGTGTACATGTACAACAATTTTCACATACCTGTGCAATGGGCCAGAAACAACAACTCGCTGCATAGGTTTGGGGGAATTTGTCCTTCAGTTCAGCAAAGATGTCCTTTTTGCCCTCCATTATGCTTGATCCTGGGTGAAAAATTTGCATTGCTCATTGAACCTTCAGTCAATCGAAGTAGTAGATTTTCTCAGATCCAAGAACAACTACATGCGTGTATATGCCATACCTGGGCCACGCTAGAGATGCTACGTATTACGCAACCTGACTTTGGCTGTGCATGCATTGCTCCAGCTGCAGCAAAAAGTTATACATGAAGTAACCTGTGCACATATGTGACGAGATCTCACACAAGGAGTTTTAACACTACAGGCCTTGCATTAGGATGAACTGAACTCTCTTGTTTTGATATGTCACTCGGTTTGGCGTCCTGCTTAAAAATCCACATTATGTGGGGGGAGAATGTTGGATGAAAAAAGGCTTAGGGCTTCAGAGTAGCTCAGTTGACTTGAGCTTCATTTAGGCCTAGATAGGTTGGGTAACAATTACAGTTTCTAATGCTAGCAAACAGGCAAAATCAAGGGTACTTGATACGAAAAGGTAATACTTTTTGCCCATCGTACAGTGGTGAATAAAGGACTAGGAATACCACAACGCAAGCTCCAGCCAGTAGGCCCTGTGCCATGAGTACTGTGCAAGTTAACCTTCATGTACCTGTGAAGAAGATTGCGATGAATACCGGTGCTGAGACACACTGGTCCACGATGACCTTCTTCATGACGGTCAACTTGGCCGTCCCTGGAAGTGCCTTGTCCAGCCACCGGTACCAGTAGAATCCCAGGGGGCCGTAGGCACAGCCACCGATGACTGCCATGCGGCCCACCCGTGCCCAGTCGTAGTGCTCCCAGCCAGCAATGGTCTGCTGCATGACCTCGGCCACGCTCAGGATGGAGCCGTAGGTGACCGAGTTGGCAAAGACAGGGTGGCGTTGGGCGAAGCCCTTGGCTGACAGGAAGAGTCTGGCACTAAGCCTCCCTGATGAAGCAGCCATGATGGTTTTTACACTTTGCTGGCTATATGGCTGGTCTCCTAATTATAAACAGTGATACAAGTTTCTCAGCTGCACTTTTTACAAATGGTGATCTGAGGCATATGCAATGAGAGATCACGGAATTGGCGTGCACTGCACGTGTGTGATGTGACACCTAACATTACAAAAAGTATCATGTTGGGCATGATCAGTTGATTGTGCTGCATTTTCATTCGATCCTGTGGGAGAGCTTGAAATTTTCCTGACCTTTTCAAAACTTTCACAATTGTGAATTAGTAGATTAGAATTACAGATGATTCACCATGGGTAGAGGGATCTACAAAGAGTGCCACAAGATCAACCAATCTGGAAATGGTTTTGCTTTCTGATGACTAATACATGTATGTATGTAATAATGATGTAATTTTCCCGAGTGATTTTGGGAGAATAACGAGATTTGAAATGTTGGAGTCTATGGCAAAATTGTCTCTGATCGTTATTTTGGAAAATCGCCACGTAAACATAAAATCTGCCACGGTGAATCAATGGAGATTTATAATGGCAACATTTTCATGCATAAAGTAAACTTCGGCAAAGCTTCATTTTTTTTGCGCGTTAACGTTTTCATCAGCAGAGTTGGACTCGCCCAGCCGCCGAATTTGACACATCCAGTGCAAGATTCGACCGAAAAATCTCCTCAATCCATTTTTATAGATACAAACGAAAGGAAAGTTTCATTTAGATCTTGGGTAGCATGTTTCCTGTAAATTTGATCAATCAGAGGAATTTCTTTTGAAGTTTTTGGCCAATAAAACAATCGATATCATCTGTGAAATGTGATCTAAAAATAGTTCAAAAATTACATCATTGTTGCACAAACGAGTGGCGTATGCATAGTCTGGTGCCGTCGCTAGTTTGTGGTTTGGTCCCTGACCTGTTGAAAGAGCAGCTTCAAGTGTAACCTACAGTGTAGGTTGCACTACACCAAACACACGCCCATAGAAAACAGTGCAAAATCGAACCAAAATAGCACCACCTGTTGACTCTCGTGAAGAAGTTAGCCTCCGTTTTTTCACTGGAAATTCAAGATTACTGCCAGAAGATCACTTTTCGTTTCAATTTCATGGGGGTTGGCCACGAAAGTTTTTTTAATTCGCCTTTCACGGAAGATACCCCAAATAGCTGTAAAACCATTTCTGAATGTAGCCGCCCGCCTCTATCAAAAATAGGCCCGCAATTTGGGTTTTTTGTGAAAGAAATAGGCCTACCCCGAACTGGAAACAATCAGTCCGAAATTTGAGATTTATAGAAATATTTCTATGATCCCTCCTGGTTATTGTAAAAATCCCGTGGGATCACAAAATATTAATGAGCTCGCGCACAGAAATACAACGATTTGGTGGAATGCACCCTGTAGGTAAATGCACAGCACTGTGTTGCGCATACACCACGCAATGCAATGTCAGAAACATGGACAGTGACCACTGCCAGGGCTAGTAGTACCACCTATGTAGTATCGTAGCCCGACATGCCTGAGGTTAGCGAGTAAAAAGTTGATTGTACTGACTACTTTAGCCGATGTTCCCATGCAAAAGTCGCCCACGATTTATCTTCTCCTACATACTGTACTTAGGAAAAGGTGATTCTGTTTACCACTGCCTGCCTACGAACATGTACCAACCTTGCCTACGCGCCCACTTCTAACTTATTAATAAAGTTCAGATTGTGCGAGTTGTCGTATGTATATGTAAAAAGCGCTATCCTGATCCTAATTCAGTTGTAGCGCCCTCAACAGTATGGAAAAAAACAGGTTCAAGGAATAGCGACTAGTCACCGGCGCGGTGTAAACAAAAAGCGGTCGTTTCACTTCTTATTCATCCATGGTTTCACATTATACAAAGCCCAAAGAGCCGCTTTTTGGAAGGCATATCCACAATTCTTCCTCACTGAGCCAGAACGAAGTCACTTGACATTTCAGGTTTGCTGTATATTCCACCTAGGTCTGTATTTTGTGCTCTACTGCAGTGGCTCTACTGTGATGCCTGGTTGATTCGTCGTCTACCGAGCGGACGACGAACCCGTCTACGTCTGGGGGTAATGAAAGTAGGCTACGTACGGGTACCGGGTACTCGTGGCTTGGGAGTTATAACGAATAACATTTATAACCTAGCCTGGTAACGGGGGCTCGGACATGTCGGAAATCTCGACCGTTTGCTCCTCAAGGAAGACAGATTTAGACCTGGGCCTACGTACCAGCAGACTAACAAAAAATAAAATTTGGGTCAAGGCCCCTGTCCACTGTACATGGTGTGCTGCAGCTGCACCAGCATGCATACCACATTGCTGTTGCAGCCTCATTGGGCACGTTGGGGGGGGGATGCATGGCACATCAAGTTGCAATGTAACACAACATATGTAAAATTGCCTCAACGCATTGATCTGCAATCTGTATTAAATGCCCCACACTCTGTCATGCTCACTCGGTGACCTGTCATGGTTGAGTTGTGTGGTTTCAAAGCTGTCTTGTCTTAACGAGCAATGTGGTAAACCATGCAAATGGTTGAGTTGTCCCACTGGTTGAGTTGTCCCACTGGTTGAGTTGTCCCACTAGATGAGTTGTCTCACTGGTTGAGTTGACCCAAGTCAAGTCGGTAAGCAGTTGAGTTGTCTGACATCCAGGGTAACGCTGGCTAATAGTAAACGTCTGTAACATTAGGCCTACTGCTTCAACTTTGTACTTGGTATGGTAAGTTGGTGAGGCCAAATAAAAAAGGAAAAAAGTTGCAAATTTAGCAACCACATGAAAATTGACTAATGACTAATGGTAGCCAACATATGCATGTTCTGCAAGTAACACTCTAGAAAATTCATTTTTAACAAATATTAAAATTTGAAAAGAAACTGTATAGTTAGCATTGAACTCGTTATACATTGTCATTGTTATGCAGCTGGCATTGCAGCGACATCACATCAAATTTCACTGATGGACAGAGTTAGCGTGTAGCCAGGCCTAGTGGTTAACCAAAACCCATGGACAGCTATTGTAAAAGCCCGATCTCCTGAGTGGACGTAACTGGACTTGACTCAAAACATGGTAGGCCTCACAG